AGAGAGAGAGAGAGAGAAGAGAGAGAGAGAGAGAGAGGAGCGAATGTACCTTTCATTGGCTTTCCGGCGCTTTGCAGAGCGTTCCTCCATTGCTGGAGAAAAACCCTAGGTCTATGGGGGAGAGAGTAGCAGCTCGACCTATAAATTCACATGACAGAGGAAGAGAAAGGGAGAGAAAAAAAACTGTCAACAATTTCAAAAAATAAAAATAAAAGAGGATAGAAAGAGAGAGAGGGGGAGAGACAGATCCAACATAGGAGAGAAAGATAGGGAAAGAGCGTGCGTTTAACTAAGCGTGCGGGAAAAGGCGCTTCCCGCCATTTCAGAACTGGGGGTCAGATTTGTACGTGTACATTTAGAAAAACAATACGCACGTGCCAGATTTCACCTCATTGTAGAGGCAGTTTTTTGGGCGAATATAATCATTTCACCGTTCAAATTCAATTTTTCTTTTTTGTTTTCTCTGTCCAAGTTTTTTTTTTTTTTTTAGGTTTTAACCATGTAAATAGATTTTAATGCCTCCGGACAAAAATGGGATTATATACTAGGAGAGCAATTTAAAATTTGTTGGACAAGAGCGTTTGTGACAAAGATAAATGTTCTCCTTATATATATTTTTTAGATAAATTTATGTACAAGCAATATTTGAGGGGCAAGGGAGTCAATTTCAAAATGAGAACAAATTTGTCCAAATTTACGAGCATCTGTACCTCTCCCTGCATTTTTTTTTTTTACAAGTTACTCTCTCTCAATAAGTTTTTTTACAAGTTACCCCTGATCAATAAACCAAACACGACACAAGTTGATTTTTTTTTGTTTAAAAAACATGAAAAAACAGTTATTGTTATCATCCTCATCCCTCTCCCGGAGAAAATGCAGCAAATAAACCCCTTTTCTCACTCTTTCTTCCTTAAACCATCTCTTTTGCTTCCTGTCATTTTTGAGAGAGAGGACAGGAGAGTAAAAAAATGGGAAGCATTTATTGTTATCATATTGCCCGTAAGATTCTTTACTTTTTACAAACCAGGGACCTTGTTAGAATATTATACATCTAATCGCATGGGTAAAACTCATACTATAAATACCTTTTTGCAATGTAATGTCTAAAAATAAATAAATAAAATACTCTCACTCTCTATGAACTTAGAAACATTGGCATCGAAATACCGTATTGGAATTGTCCAATTTTTTAGAAGAAAAATATCTAGATGTTAAAAAACTCGAAGTCAATTATTTTATTTGAAAATAATGATTTAAGTATGATCCAAAAATTTAAATGAATAAATAAAACCTCTTTAAACACCGTAACACTAACCAATGAGTCGACGTCAACAATAATGGGGGTCCTCATATTTAATCTCTCCAACAAGCAGGAAAATGGGTTAGGGTCGTAGTGACAACAACCCCCATACCTTGGTTACACATCGTGCCTCCAATTTGATTGAGAGCTCCAAAAACCTAACCATTCAAAGTATGAGTAGGAGCTTGTGTTTCCCATGGAATTACTCAAAAAATAAACATCTTCTCAACCGAACTATCCTCCAAGAGCCTCGTAATTGCTCTCCTCAGAGGCCTTACACCATATCCAGGCTTATACCCCTCCTCCACAACCGTGTCCCAAAGCCTCTACCTGCAACTCCATGTCCTTTGCATTGAGCCTCTCCAACACCTGTCAACATCAGCAGTTGCATGAACACTAGCATCTCATCGGCCCTATTCAATAACTCGAGTCTAAAATATCACTTCGTTCAGTCGCCTCCCTAATTATACACAGTTGTTTAGACAATCCATCCTCCATGAATTGCTGATGTAATACCGACTTATGGACAAAGGCACGGGTTATGGGGGCATCAATCATCTTCATGACGATGGGAACTAGAGATGCTTAGATTAATAGAGGCCGTCGATTGGAGTGAGATGTTTAGATATAGGTATTAAAATTATTTTTTTTCCCAATATTTTCGGATATCATTATTATCATTAGATTAATAATGATAGTAAATAAAAAAAGCAGTTTCGAATTTGTTAATATCTATATCTTGAAATTCTCAACTTGAATGATCATGATTCATTATTGGAGAACACAAGTTTTTACCATATCTAGGATGCAAATTAAATTTTATTTTGTATGAGATTGAGTATAAAGATTAAGAGCGTGTGTGCAAAAACTTGGGTCATACAAATGCGAAAAATATGTCTTTCTAGAGGTATGTTTCATTTTAGCACAATGACACAATGGCATGAAAACCACATTTTCGATATTCGGGTCGATAATCTAATAAAATAGAGAGTTCCATAAAGATGTCGTACATAAAATTAGAGTTGGGTGGCTAAAGTGGAGATGTACAACTGGAATTCGATGTGATCGCCGTATACTGATGAGATTGAGGGGCAAGTTCTATAAGACAATGGTGATATCAGCTTTGCTACAAGAGACGGACAAAAACAATATACCCATAGAATGACTGTAGGTGATATGAGGATGTTGAGATTGATGAGTGACAAAGCGAGAAGGGATATAATTTGAAATAAATTTATTAAACAATCAAAAATAGCGAGGCTCATTTAAGCTTATGGAATACGCAGTTATATTTTCGGTTATTTAACATTCGAAATTGTTATATTTTCAGTTGTTCAACATCTGAGAATATCATATTTTCGATTGTTCAACATCGGAAAATGTTATATTTTATGTTGTTGAACAACAGAAAATAAGAATGTAAATTCCAAACTTCTGTCCTATTTTCGATTGTTCAATCGAAAATATGACATTTTTAGATGTTAAAAAATGAAAAATAGGACATTTTCGGCTGAAAATAAAATACAAATTATTTACATTGTTCAAAAACATAAAAAAGTAAAACAAACATTTTTAAATTTTTTTTTATAAAATAAAAAAACAGATATTTCAATGATAACGGAAACTATTTGATATTTTGATAATAACAAATATATACTGTTTTTTTTTTTTTGGTAATAGTGGACGAGCTCCAATTTTTTTAAAACGTTAATGGTTTTTTAATACTTTAGGTGAGAATGGATGTGCCTCTTGCTGCTACTTACAGGTGTATTCATTGGCTTGTCGCATCAAAATCATATCCTAAAAGTTTATTATTTTTTATTTTTTTGTTAAAAGGCATTTTGGTAATTAAATTTTTTGCCTTGAAGCTTGGGCTCTTATAGGGCCTTGTAGGATGAAACTAGGAGAGAGAAGCAGGGTGTTGGGTGAGTTAGCGGACATAAGAGCCACTTGAGAAACATCGATTGTAAAGATGGATGTTATAAAGAGTGTACCCTCTATAAATATTATATGGACGACGCACCAAATAAAATTATATTTATACTTTACAAACCTGGATGATATCCTAGATAGGGTATGTATCGGCATACGTAGAGAAGGTTATCATTAAATTAAAAGAAACTCGTTTGATAGGTCCGTAGCCCTATTAAAATAAGTAAAGCCTCACCTCATAACTCATAAAAATTTTTGGAAGACCTTTATATGGATAATCTCAGTTTGAACATTATGTTTGTGGAAAAGAACTTAGGATTAAAGTCATAAAAATAGAATATATTTTAACAAATTATCTAGACGGTCCATTTCACTCTAAAAACAAGTGTTCATAGACCCGCAATATTTGTATAATTTATTGATATTCAAATTTTATTGTTGGTGTTGAAAATTGATTTTAGAGAGCGAGGTTTTATTTTGTTTACATAAAGCCTTGGTCTTACAAAATCTTTATCCTACATTAAATATAACAATTAAAATGCTACATAGTTATTGCCTTAGGTGCACTAATTGCCCTTTTTTAAAATATTTTAATAAATAAATTGTTTAATGAGGGTTAGACCCCATTTTTACAATAAGTGGCCCTAAGGTATAAAACATATATCTTAAATATGGATGCAAATAGGTGGTTCATCTAAAAACAATTGAAAATATTTGTCTAGATATTTTTTAATAGAATTATTATTTAAAATTTTCAAATTTTATTTATTTAAGAAAATGCACAGTACATTCCCAATGCAAGTACTTTTTGGGTGCAGCTTTATGGGCTTGTCACATAAAAAACACACCCTCCAAATTTATTTCGTTTTCCCTGGAGGGTATTGTGGTAATCAAAAGATTTGGGCTTAAATATGGCCCTTTATAAGGCCATGCCTAATAGGTTGAAAGTAGGTGAAAGAGGCAGGGTTTTGGTGTATAAATTTGGGTGGTGTTCACAATCCATAATAGGTGATTCATTCAGCAGTGGGGGCTCCTATTTGATTTTGTTGTTGATGAAAAAGGGGATTGTTTGGAGATTGCTTTCAATGAAGATTCACTAATGGTTATTTGCCAATTTGCGAGGTAACATTATATTTCTCAAAGCATACTTAAAAAAAAAAAAAAAAAAAAAAGAACAGTGAAAAAAATAATATTTTCTAATCAAAAATTAAAAAATAAATATTTCCAAAGCATGTAGTTTCCTCTTAAGATTGCCAATTTGCTTCGTGGTTGTAGTCATGGTTTATTTGTGTGTGATTTTGTCTCCTATGTTTTATCTATTGGATTCCATGTGCTTTTATTTTTTATTTTTTGAGTGATGTAGTTTGGATTTTTTTGAGGTTATAACTCCGCATCATAAAAAAATGTAGTTTTGGCACCGGAAAGCTTTGAATCAATAATTGGATTTGAAAACAATATATATTTTAATCCCTAAAAACAGTTTGTTTATACTTTTTTAGACCATCAATTTTCAATAATCATCTAACCCTCAAATTCAGATCCATTTTTTAAGCTTCAAATTTCATAGCCACTAGATAACTCGATTTGCAGCCCACCAATTGATCATTTTTTAGCACTGGATCAGGGTTTCTTTCCGATGTTTTGATGTAGGAACTTACCAAATAATCGAGGCTTTTACCAAATTTAAATCCGATTGATTTTGGATGCAGCGTGTATCAAATTTAAATCCGATTGATTTTGGATGCAGCGTGTATCATGACTGCATCTGATTGATTTTGGGTGTTGGGTTTTGCGGTCTCATTGCAACCAATTGTACAAAAATCAGTTTAGAGGTTCTTTTGGGATGGGAAATGGCTTATATGCGGTGCTTCTGAGTTAGAGTGCAAAACACTGCTAAACTCTATTTCTCGTCAACTTTCTGCTTTCAAATTGCACTCTTTGAGGGCATAGTGAAGCTTAATTCATATTTATACCAAAATATTACCAAAAATATTTTCCTAACATTTTTTTATGTAAAAACATTGCATGTAATGTACAAAAAATTGGCTCGGCTAAAGGTAATCGGCTATTGGCCGAGCCGAATGACGCGAGTGAGTTGGATACACCGAAGCGAAAAAACCTTTAAAAAAGGTGCAAAAAATATCTAAAAATATATTTAAAAAAAAAACTAAAAGAATTAATAGAATGATTAGAAGACTTAATAAGATGGAAAAAAGCTATAAAAGATAGATTATTGAAAAAGTGGATTTCTACATTGAATATTTCAGATTTTTTTTTTAAAAAAGGGAAAAAAAAGTTGCCAAATAATCCTCAAAAACCAAATATTCCAAGAAAGTATTTATATACAATTGTGCTAGTGTTTTTTATTTTTTATTTTTTATTTTTTTTGTATTTATTTTGGCTTGGCCAGTTGGGCGCCTAACTTGCTCGGAACTCAGCGTATATAATCATTTTTCGATAATGCGATTAGAAAGATTTACAAGGATATTCGGTGCTTGTCTTTTTTATTAGGAATATATTGAATAATTACTGGGATTTAATATATTAAATTGGTGTATATTAAATTACATAGAAATGTAATATATTGACAATGTGCATGAAAATTACATAGAAATGTAACATAATTGTGATATAAATTTTACAAATGATAAAGTTGATAGCAATATATATTTTAGTTATGAATTATAATTGCAAATATTTTCAATTCACGTGTAGATTTCTTTTAGGGGAAAGCTTTCTATGTACCCCCAACAGCATAGAAGTTCTATCCTCCCCCTACCATCCCGCCGTCCATTTTTTATCAAGAGAACCACTCACTGCTTGATCTTAGATCCGATGTCTCAAAGTACTTTATTTTTAATTTTTTTAATACAATTTTTTTTAATGTGAAATTTGGTATGTGCCATCTTCTCATTGGGGCACACCTATAAAAAATATTAACAATAATTTGCCGATAAAAAAATGACCAAAATACCCCTTAAAAATTTAAAGAGATATTTTGGTCCTTTTATTTTATATTAATTTACTTTATTTTTTATTTTTTTATTATTGCAAGTTTAATAGAGGAATGGATGTCCAAAATTTGGTGTCAAAACAATTTGTAGAAAAAAAATTTAAAATAAAATAGTATAGAAACGTGACATTGTGCTTGCGACAATCTTACCCCTCCATTAAAAACTGGACGATTGTATAAGGGGAAGATAGAACTTCTATGTTGTAGGAAGAGTATATAAAGTTTCCCCTTCTAAGCCCATCTTTGTTGAGTGTTAAAAAATATCAATGAAAAACAAAATTTTAGGAACATTAGAGGGGTATTTTGGAAACTCCTTATTAGTTCGAGTGGCCCATAAATGCATAAATTCTCTCAGCTTTATTTTCTTAGCATTCATTATCTAAAATATTGATTGAAATCATCATCACATTGTAATTAGGAAAAAGAAATAATTCATTAACTTCTATCCTGTGCGACTTATTTTTAAAAATAAAAAATAAAAGTGACCTAAAAATAGAAAGGGCATATTGCTATAAATATATGGATTAATAACTATCTAATGTTGAGAGCATTAAATGACCATGTATATCTTAATGAGTAGAGACGGGAGAAATAGCCCTTTTAATCTTCCATATGTTTCAAACTTTTATTTTTAAATAAATACACGTACAAACCATTGTCGAAAAATTTGGGTGATCTAACCACTAACACTCAGTTAAATTGGAACTGGTCATTAGTCGGTTTCGATTTGAACGGTTTTGGTGATTGAGCAATATTTAAAAAAATAAAATAAATAATATATATATATATATATATATGTATATATATATTCTCAAAATAAAGAATTTGGTTTGTAATATATTTTTTTAATATTCTTTATATTATAGTAAAGATTAAAAAATATTTTGGTCATTAATACTGACTTTTATCTTTTTCAAAAAATCGATTTTGGTCATTAAAATTCATTTTTTCATTAATTTTCAACTTCATTTGAATGTGTTTTGTTTTAATCATTTTTTATATGCTTTTCATATTTTAGATATATTTTTTGTATATTTTTTATCTTTTATTTTTTTCAACACTTTTTGACAGCCCAAGACTTGCTCAGTTAGAACAGTTGAATCGGCTGGTTTACCGCGATTAAACAGCTTCCGAGCCCATGTCCGATTAACCATTCCGTTTGATTTTGTGAACACTGATACAAATACAAATAGGGGTGGCAATGCACCTAGACCCCCACGCAAGACTCAATTACCGCCCGACCCGGGTATGGGTCCAAAATTTTGACCAGACGGGTTGGGTCTGGGTCCATGTGGACCCGACCTGGATAGTGTTATTATTTAAATAACATTTTTAATATATAATATTTTAAAATTTAATTAATACTAAAAATCAATATAACTATATTTTTTAGTTATAAAAATAAATATTAATGTATCCATTTAACATAATATTTAAATATATATTTTTATTTGTTGGTCGGGTCTAGCCGGACCCGACCCGATCTGTTGCCACCCCTAGATATTTTCATGTAGAGAAGATGAGGTCGAGAGAGAGAGAAAGAGAGAGAGAGATTTACACAAAGGACACGGTTTCTACGCGGCCTGTCCGCATATTGTAGAAATGTGGGTTTGGCCATAAATATTTATTTTAAATATAATTTGATCCTAATTTTTAGATAATATATAATTTTTAATATTGAAATTATGAATAAACAAAAAAAAAAAAAAACTATAAGTAATAGTTATATTAAAAAAATATTTGAATCATTTGTTATAATTGTTTTTAAGTGGAACAAGTATTTGCATCCATCTTTAAAATTAAAATGAATACTTTATGCCTCTGGATCGCATATTATAGAAATACGATCCAGCCGGCGAACTTTCCTTAACGAAAAAACATGTGAAATAAAAAGAAGGACAAATGGTCATTTGTACCTCTTTTTATGCTTAGGTGGATATGTGAAGGCCAATTTCAAAAAATCGAAACATGTGAAATACAAAGAGGGGCAAATGGTCATTTGTCCCTTTTATTAGACTTTAGGTGAATGAGTAAGGGCCAATTTAAAAAATTTGAATCTAGAAAAGACAAAGTTTTAAATAGGAAATAGAATAGCATTAATCACCACAAAGGGTTATGTTAATATCAACGAAATATACTTACCCAAAAAGAACATCAAAGGAATATGATAGCATTAATCAACATTTATGTCATTTTTAATGTAATGTATTATCTAAATTGTCAATTTTTAAAATTTGTAAGTTTTTATAGATCTACTTGATTATACTATTTTTAATATTTAATATTTATAATTATTCAAGCCATCATAAAGATTTAAAGTGTGGTTTGTAAAAAGCTGAGGCCTTAAACCATCAAAGTAAGGCATCCCTTTAAATAGTGTCGAAAGTTATCTCAATTCTCGAAATTTTTGTGATGATCTAAAAATTTATTTTTTATCTAATTATAAAATTTAAAATTTTTAAAATAATATAAATAAAGCATAATTACGAATATGTAAATTTTTAAAAAATTGACGGTTTAAAGATGCATCACAAGATGCACAATTTCCATCACTCGAAATTGAGATGATCAATTAGTACTTTTGAATATTAAGACATCTTCTAATAAAATTTTAGGTGTACTTTTAATCTGATTATTTAAAACCTCGTCCTCATATAAAACAAAATACTACCAAAATATTTGAAGATTCGTTTCTTACCTTTGATTATTTAGGACGGGCCTCATACAAACCACAACCTTCTCTCTCTCTCAAAACCAAGCGTCGAGAATCTGTAAGTCGTATGGCACATGTGGCGTACACCCAAAATTTGACAATGAATAAATGACAAAAGAATTTTTTTATACGGAAAGTACATTTAACGAAGTAAATGCAGAATAAAGAAAAGGATAAATAAAGAAACGCATAAAGTAATCTTTTACACCCCTTGAATTACGATATTTTGAAACGCAAAAACGAGGAGAGAGAGAAAGGAAAACCAGCAAAAAGGCGGTTTTTAGAGAGAGAAGGTAAACTCAGCAAAGAGAAACAGTTTCCGGGGAACAATGCTTCGTAAAGTAGGGTGTTTTCTGTTTTTTAATGTTGATTAAATCCTTGCTTTTGCTGGGGAATCAACTTTATATCGATTGCTTCTGGCATGCAAAGTGTGTTTTGATTTTTTGATGCAGAGGATGCAGAATTTGAACTGATGATTGAACTGTAATTGCAGAGGTTTTCCTCAATTGAAAGCATGAATATGAACTGATGATTGAACTGTAATTGCAGAGGGTTTCCTCAATTTGATTGATCAAGTCTACTGAGGTTTCATTTCAACTAAGGAAATGGCTGCCAAGGTATGTACTAGAAGTCTAAAACTGTGCCATTTTAGCTTCAATTTAAGATTATGGCCTGTGGGTTTTGATGTGGGGGGTGTCTTCAGAGAGATAGAAAGAGTGATGTTGGACTGCTTTCTTTGCAGAGTATGACCCATGATAGAGCGAGTGATTATTGTCAGCGAGAGAGAGAGAGATCATGTGGACATGAAAGTGTGAGTAAAAACTGAGAAGAGGGAAAATGTACAGTGACCTTCCTTGCAAATTTTGAAAAACAGCCTGAAATAACCAAGCAAGTACCATGAGAATCCTTGTTTTATGTCCCCACGAGAAGATTGTGATCAAGTACAATTCATGTCAGGGGACTATTCTCTATAGAAAAATTGAAGTTAGGAATGTGTATAAAGATGGAATTCTCATGTATATGTTAGTAAGGTAGTTTATCTGGTTGTTTCGTAGACATATATTTGTGGCTTTTGGCCAGATGAATAATAAATGTGTATTATTTAGCTTATTTTAATAAACAAGCTGCTCGATAGAGCTATGACTGAGGCCTAGTTCAGTAAAGCAGGGGGTATGGATAGAATGGAAATGGGGGAATGGAATTTGATAACCATGTTTGGTGGATGAAAGGTGGGTATATTTTATGACGTCGGTCTCATAGAGATAGGCACTACTGGCCTACTTGTGTTATTGGTTTGCAACTCTTCTTTCTCTACCAAACAAGTGTGCGGCTAATGTTAGAAATGGACACTTTCTTCCTGCTGCAGCGCTCTCTCATTTTTGCCCCACCAAAGAAGGATTTCTCTCTCTCCCTTCACGAAAAAGCAAGCCCTCTCTACCCTCACTTCTCTACTATGTCTCTCACTTTACTCTAGTTTCACCTTTTCTCTATACATCTTTACCTTCGTCTCAAAGAAGGATCTTATTGATGCCATTTTAGTGTACTTATGTTGGCAAAGCTTGGTCGCTTGAAACTCTTTCTCACGAAATTATAATTTCTATTCAACCCAACTGTTTTCCAGTATTCAGTCCCAAATCCCTGTTAGAAATTATTTCAAGTGGTTTCATAAAGCATGTGGGTTAATCTTCTGCCCTAGTCAATAGGATGGGAATACTCCAAAACAAGGATGTAATAATTTTTTGCGAAACACATCATCTAGGCAATGCACACAATAGACATGCATCTTCCAGGTCTCTTATCAGATGCTATCCCAACAACAGACACCTATTCCAAGAGATGCCAATTCCAGGAGAGCATCTCCATAGGATATGCTCACATCAACCTACTTTGATCTAAGGCTACTTAGAAAAAAAAAAAAGTGCGACCATCACTTGCCGCTGCCACTATAGAACTAAACTAGGTAGGCCATTGCCCGTAAATCATGCAACCATGTTTTATCTTTTGCTACTTCCATCTTCAGGTATCCATATGGGCCCTAATGCAAACACAATCGAAGTTTGAAGCAATCAAAGAAGTTGTTACTTCATGTGGAAAGGAGCAGCCATAGTGAGATGTTCATAGATTGTTCCTTAGTGATGGAAAATGTTTGGGGGTAGTAGTGATGTGAGTGGTGGCAAATGTACAAATTGAAGTAGAGGAGCTGAACCCACCCTTGCTGTTGATAAGAGGAGGAATGGAGGAATCCATATCTATAAGGGGAGTTACTTGTGAGTCAAAATTCTAGCAGGCGTTAGGATGTGACCATTTTTAGAATGATTAGGTGGGAAAGCTTGTAGGTAGGAAACATCAAAGGTTAAAGATTGTTAGGGAATGACTAAGATTACCATGGTATAGAGTATTATAGTATCCATGGGATAGACACCTAGGGTTGGAAAGCATGTTCATTCGTTGAAGTAGGTGTTTGAGCTATTGGTAGGACTATAACCATGGGACATATGAGCTATTGGAATTTGAAAACCATATATTTGTGTGCAGAAGAGAAGCTATGTAGCTCAATAGAATAGAAGTTATATAGAATAGAACACCCATCGGGTCTCTTGTTTTAAGGGCTGACCTTAAGGGCTTGACTTAAGCCACCCGAGCCAATGATGGAACTGCCCTTGTTTTGGGTTCCAAACCCAGAGCATCTTTATTTTATATAGAAATTTTTGTTCTGGGTTCGCAACTAAGAACTTGCTATGGTATTTACATCATTTGGTTCCACTTGAGCCCTTTAGCCAAATGATGCAACTGCCTTCCCTTTTACTGGTTCTAAACCCAAAATATTGCTTCAATTCCCATACTGGTTCTGAGTGTGGAGTTCGAAAATGCTTCATTTCGGTCTAGAGCATGAGTGTAGCCAAATGACGAAATTCCCCTATAGTTCTTGGTTCCAAGTCCTCAACAGAGCAGAGTCTTACAATTAATATTCTCGATAAACATGTTTTTTATTAATTGTTAGATGTTACATATTAAGAGGTTTTCTTCAATAATTTATATACTAATTCTGTTTAATTGAAATATAAATATTGGAGTTTTGGGGTTCAAGTGTTTTGTGTTGCAAAGCAAATGTGGTACCTCTTGTTGCGGAATGGTTGCTGACCTTCATGAGAACCAATAAGAGAGAACTGCCTTCTTGAAGGCGAATGAATGTCATTCTAGATATCATTAATTCTTGGACAGTCAATTCAAAACCTCAAAAATAGAGAGTCGGATTCTCATTCTCATTTTTCACTCACTCAGTTATAAGAAGGGCTTCTCTAGTCCTCTCCCCCCCCCCTTTTTTTTTCTCAAACTGTCATTAAATCTTTCTTCATCCAAGTTCATTTTGAGGATTCATAGAAAGGCAAACCAATTGGTTTTTTCATGTCTGTAGACGTCATTGGGTGTGCATACCAAAGAGAAGATGCATACAACATTCCCCTAGGTCTAGTTGTATCCTTGATGTAGTCTCACCAGAATTGCATCGTGAGAAATCATGTCAGCGTGATCAGATACCTTGCAGATGGCATGGACATCTCATGCCTACATTTCCAAGTTGACTGTCCGTTGTTTGTATTTGCTTAGTTCCACATGTTGTTTTGTGCAAGATTGAGAGGCTGTTATTTTTTATGGCATTGTCACCACAGTTCCTGTTTCATTGTTGAGGGTAGAGCTTCATGCTCAGTTATATTGCTATGCAATTAACCTCCTGTTCCACCTGTTAAGAGATTTAACCCCTGTTCAGTCATTAAGAGAGTGCACTGCCTCTCGTACCATTAAGATGCCGCACCCCACATCCTACCATTCAAAGATTGCTCCACCTCTTCCGCCCTTAAGAGCACGTTCATCCCATTTCCTCCATGGAGAGCCTCACTATATTCTATTGTTAAGATCAATTGTCTATCCTGCTGCCAAGAATCTGTTTAGCTTGTTCAGCTGTTTGGAGACAAGAGCCTGAAGACATGTTCCATCATTAAGAGGATGTTCAGCTCCTGTTCCGCTGTCTTGCAATGGCTTGCTCTGGTATTAAGAGCTCCTGTTTGTCTTTAAGAGCCTGAAAGAGCTTGCAGAGCTGCAATACCTTCCTTGTGTTGTTGATGCTCCATTCATTGATCGCTTCATGCAATCCCTTGGCCTTGAAATAAGCTATATTAATTTTGAGGCCAAAGAAGACTCAAATTTGGGTTTCTGGGGACTGAAAACCATAATCTTCAAAGTATTCATTTAATATGTCTCCCTGTGAATTTACAAGCTGAAACCCAATGAAACTGGATTGTTTTTGTGATTCAATATGAGAGATAACAAAGCTCTCGCAGCACTTGATCACATGAAACTTGGACAAAGATTTTTGAAGAATGAAGACTCTGCTACAACATGGCAACCTCACCACGAACTCAAGGCTTGACTCAACTTGAGATGACTGGCTCGATATGGATGACGCGCTTCACTGTTCAAATATCCAAATCAAATCCAACTTCGTTTTGGGCATTGGAGAATCAAATTGAAAGAACAACAACAAGAAACTCGAGTGATATGATTCCATTAATTTAAAGATTAAGGAGATAAATTGATTTTTACTGTTTCCATGTGTTGGATGCAATTCATGAGATAGGATTTAAATCTCATCATGTAGGATGCATTTGTTTAGATATGGCATGAGGTGTGCTTGGGTAGATTAATTTTCAAAAATTGCCTCATTATGGAAGGATAGTCATCTCATTATGGCTGTTGCCCCTTGATTAGGGGAAGATATGTCTGAAGAAGTGGGCTATGATGTTATATGCATTGTTTACATATTGCATGAGGTGTGCTTGTATGGGTTTTATAACACTTTAAAATGATGAAAACATATGTGTGGAATATGTCAAATATGGCAAGTTTCTACAGTAGGAACATTTTTATGAGGCAGCATGAGCCCTTCAATAGGAACCTTAATGGTTATAATGTATCAATTGAATGTGTCGCATTTTGTCCTGATATGGCAATTATGAAATAGATCGAAATTTATCAGTTGCCAACATGACATTTGATACAATAAATGTCTAGGGTCAACTACTTTGATGAGTAGTGTCTTATCGATAGGTTTTTTTTTTTTGGGGGTGAATTATTGATAGTTCTTTGTAGTTATTAACACTCTTCGCCCTTCGTTACCGATTCAAAATTTCTAGTGCTTATAAATGTGAACCATGTAATGTGCCTTCATCAACAATAGTTGATCCAGATATCTACCTGCGATGCAGCTGAACTGAAGATGTCAAATTAAAGGATTAACTTACACAAATGAGCAATCAATACCATGCTCGTGCCTCAAATGGTTAGTGCTTCATATGACATGTTTTATATAGAAGCTCATGTCTCGAAGACATGCCCGAAATGGCTTATGCTTGCAATCGATCACTAGTTCTATGTGAACAATTTGTCATCATTGCATTTTGGAGCAATTGGATATATTGTCCATGATCGCCCGGTGCTATATTGAGGTAATAGCTCAGCAACTTAGTATTGGGCACTGTTCTAAAAAGCAAATTGGTGGAGTGGAGCATCCAACTACTGATCCTGATCAAGACAAGCTTCATCGGTGATCCGGACTGTCCCCATTGGTGATTTGGCAAAGTCAAAAAATAAAACAAGAAAAAAAATTTCAATTATATACTAGTAATATATTTAACATTGTATAATATATCTTAAGTAGCCTAGTTGGCAGAAGTTGCCGCTGATTATGTTGAGGTAGGAGGTTTGGCCATATCGTCTGTATTTTTTATATGTTGTATATATCCTTAGTGTTAATTTTTTTTTCACCGGGTTCAAACCTTGGACGCAGAGATTATTGCCCACAAGGTATGGCCACCAAATCTGAAAAATTGCTTGTGATATTTTATGCTATTGTATATATCATTTCTTAAGGTAAAAAAATTTGGTGCGTTTGAACCTCGGATATAATGTTAAAATCTTACAAGGTCTGTCCATCGAAACTGATAATTTATTTGTGCTAAAGGCCTCTATGTTGTATATTATATAAATTAAATTGCTGATTCTGACCAGGAGTCACCACGCTTGGAGCAACTCCCTATTTGGATTGGCAATTTCCAATTTGGATCAGTGAATTTTTAATTTCTAGTATCAGGTCAGCGATTCACAGATACATTGTTGGAGATTTGAAAGCGATAATTTATAGTGCATACTCTGCTAATGGATAAGGTTCGAGATACCAATAACCTCAACTCTTAGAACGTGAAAGTTAAGCGCAAAACCGACTCTCTTATGGACACCCCTCCTCATCCTAGAAGTCAGGCACATATATTCTGGAAGACACTTGTCTTGTTTTGAAGGGGGTTGGATGCACATTATGTAGCTGCAGAAGTACTTCTCGAGATCTCAGCTAGTCTTACCTTTCTACTAGTGATAGACACTCCCACTTTGCTCAACCATCTCCATTAAGAGACATATACATGGAAGCTTATAAAAAAGAGGATAAAAGCAAGAATCCTAAAAAAGAAGGAGAAGAGCAAGAACGTAACCAAGCAAGAGCAAATGCAAGGAATAGCTACATGGAGGATTGAAGTAAAAGGAATATATTGAGGACAAGAAGTTCACAAGGGCAAGGTATAAGAGTAAAGTACCTAAGATGTATTTGCTTTTAAAAAATTGTACTTCTATTTCCTTTGTTTTCTTGCTATTTGTACTCTCTCTCTTCCAGTCTAGACATTTAATCGGTTAAACGGAAGTGTTCAGTTGTAGTTTGACTTTGGATGTAAAATAAACAGGGTATCTATGGGTACCTTGGGAGTATAATCCCCATCCTCTAAATTAGCAGTCCCTTTATCAGTATGGACTTTGTTTGTTCAATGTTTTTATCTTTGCCTTATCCACTTCTTCGTGGATTCACATTTTAAGCTACAAGATGCTTGGTTTTACCTTCTGTGAATGTCTTTGAGATGTGTATTGTCAAACTCACGCTAGTACCATTGGATTGAGAACCAAATGCATGATGACATGATGTAGATAGTTGCAAGTGACCTTGAATGTGTTGTTATCACTTTGACATTGTTTCCCTTGGGAATTAATATGAAGAACAGGAGTTCCTGATGTGATCCCTAATTTCTTGTAAGCATGATCAAGATAAATCCGTGGAACTCTTGGCATGGATGGATTGTGAGAAACCAGTTCAACCTTTTTGCATTGATGAGAATTCTCAAGTGGTTTACTCCTCTTGAATGTGATACCGACATGTAGACCAATGATCCAAGTGTTTAATGTGGACATTATACTAACTTATCTATTGTTGAGGATGTGTTTTGACTTGATACTATAGCAATATGAGTTATACGACTTAATGATAGAATGTTGGTACGTAATCTTCATGGATTTTGATGAAGTTGTCGCACATAGAATTAGAGTTGGATGGGCGAAGTGGAGATCTGCATCCGGAGTTTTATGTGATTGTTGCATACCATTGAGACTTAAGGGGAAGTTCTATAGGAATGTTGTAAGACCAGCCATGCTTTATGGGACGGAATGCTGGCAGTCAAGAAACAACATATCCATAGAAATGTGAGAAACCAGTTCCACCTTTTTGCATTGATGAAAATTTATTGATGAGAATTCTCAAGTGGTTTACTCCTCTTGAATGTGATACCTGAATGTGGACATTATACTAACGTATCTATGTTGAGGATGTGTTTTGACTTGATACTATAGCATTATGAGTTATACGACTTAATGATAGAATGTTGGTAGGTAATCTTCATGGATTTTGAAGAAGTTGTCGCACATAGAATTAGAGTTGGGTGGGCGAAGTGGAGATTTGCATCCGGAGTTTTATGTGATTGTTGCATACCATTGAGACTAAAGGGGAAGTTCTATAAGAAGGCTGTAAGACCAGGCATGCTTTATGGGATGGAATGCTGGCAGTCAAGAAACAGCATATCTATAGGATGAATGTAGTTGAGATGGATGACAATATTCTCCTAGGGACATAAAACTGGGATTCTCATGCTAGTTGGGGGTGAAAAGGCATGGTGTATCTAGTAGATGCCTTAGACAATGACCTACATGGTGTAGCAACCCTTTGTATTTTTATAGTAAAACGATGTTTCAGATTTGGATGTGAGGGAAGCCCATGATGACATACATGGTGGAGTGTTTGAGAAGCACACTTATGTGGAAAATTTGGTTGGATGGCTAAAGATGTAGTTGGTAGACATACCACAAGTTTAATAGCTTATCCCAAGACTTTTAGGCTGTGAAGCTGTATTACTGCTTTCTAGAGCAATGAATATGATTGATGCAGATGAATCCAGATCAAGATCTGGAGTATATTGATGTTGATAATACGAGATGTAGATATGAAGTAAACATAGCAAAGGCTTGAATGGAGGTTTTGATCTCAAAAATACATGCTTAAGATGTGTTCACATATGTTGTCCCTTTGTGTAATGTGCATTGTCTTATGTATGTCCTTTAAGTCTTTTACTCACCTATAAAGCTTTGATTCCTGTAACAATTTTCCACTCACCAGCTTATTTTCTTTAAACTGTGAACCATTGCATACTGATGTGTGGGATTTTGCTTTATCATTTCATGCTGTTTACTAGTTTGTGGACTTCACTGTTGTCAGTAATGTGCCTCATTCATACTAAGATATCGGTTAAATTTAAGTATCTCTTGACTAACGTTTATTCCAGCCAACACCTTCCTACTCATAGTTTGTCATAATTTGTACCTTTGCCAGTCGGATTGTACAAATACCACCATTAAGAGAAAGAAGGTAATGCCAGAAACTCCAACGTCTTCAAAGAAGATCTCGAAATGGTCCAATGTTACTCGGAGGCATTCCCAACGTTTACAGAAGCCAGTCTTTCCTAATTCAAATGATGCAGGCACAGAGCCTGTGATTGAGGATATAGAAGTCAGTGATAGTGATGATGATTCTTCAAAGGCATTTCATGAGGCAGACACTCGGTTTGTTGCTTCTGAAGAACAAATGGAAGAGAAAACGGACACTTTGGTTTCACTTCTCGAAGATAAAGAAAAGATCATAGAAGAATTGTTGTCCGATGTAAGGATTACATGTTCTTTTCTCTTTATTCCCGTGTGTGAGTGTGTACATACATGTGTTGCTAGTCTGCGTATCTGTGTTTTTTTTCTTGGTTTGCGTTGGATTTTCAATTCTATTTCTATTTTATGTTGTTTGGTTTTTCTTTTCCCTGGTGTTATTTGTAAAATATTTTGAAGCAGTAAATTTTTTATATTCCAGCAACTTTGTATGCCCTTTTCATCTGAGAGCATGACATCGGTTGAAGTCCAAAAGTTGATGGAGAAAAAGAATAAGTTCAAAAGCTTGTATATCAATTGTCATAGGAAGGTAGCTACTTTCTGTAGGTGTTTAAACACCATGACTTTTCTGTCGTATTTTGTTAATGACTTTTCTTTCTTACTCTTTCTGCAGCTTGACATTTTAAGACAGGAAAATGTTGAACTCAGAAAGAAGTTGGAAAATGCTCTTGGCAAGATAGAAGGAGTATAGTCATTCCCTTACTTGTACCTTTGAGAGAAATAGGGGAAGTTATCCTAGACACACTCACAAATGGTCTGGAAAAGATTTGTTGAGTCACTGGCCGGAACTGTACAAAATAATGATTGGCCTAACCACTAGGGCTACGTGATTGACCTCCAAATTTTTAAATCGTCATTTCTTCACATTATGCAGGATGGAAGAAGAAATTTTGGTTGAAGCTCAAAGAAACCCTAGAACTATCAGCCATGAAACATACTTTTAAAGCAATCTTTGGCTTAGAATTTAGTTGGAGCACTTTTGTAGCTCCAAATCATATTTCCTTTTTCTGATTGATCGCAGATATGAATGAAGATGATTTGGGAGTTTTGGGGTCACAAAATCCTCTTAGCTAGGTGTTTGGGCCCATGGTGATTTTCTGCCATTTTGGCCAAGTGACTCATCAAATTGTTTCCCGCATGTGTGTGCGTGTAACCGTATGCTGTCATTGGGGATTTGTACAGTTCTCTAGCAGTCCTGCCAGCAGTAAGATGTGAACAGTGTCTCAAGAGTTTTGTTTCATTGCTGAGAATTTGAAAATCTTTACAAACTTAAGCGGATGAACTGCAACTCGCGAACTGTCCGTTGTCAAATTTTACTGTTATGCGACTGCTAGAAAACTGTAGGAGACCCAAATCGCATAGAATACTTACCTTTATTTATTCATTCCTTATACTTTCTTTTTTGTGTTTGGCATGGCATCTTGTTTCAGTTTGACAAGGGATTTGACAAGGGATCACAGCAGGTATTTGCTGAAGCATTCGAGAAATTCAAAAATGAAATATTAGCTTCAACATCAAAAAAGATCATTGAAACAGACCGGCACGGATCATCTTTGAGTCCAGTGTCAATGCTTGAAAGTGCAACACTTTCCTTGGTTGACAATATCGCTTCAGGGAACACTACTAAGCCCGAATCTATGAGTAAGAGGCCTGCAAGAGGCAGCCGAATGAAGTGAACTGGGAGAGTGAGGTGATGTATATACCATGTACTTTCCGTATTCCGGAAACTTTTATGTGAAGCTGACCTTGTTTTGGCTTATACAATCCAAATTTGACAAGCATGACGTAACGTAGTTTGATCTTTTGTTTTTTTAGGGCCTGTTGGATAAAACAGGATTTTGGATATCAGAAATTTGAAAATCAGGATATTAGTAAATATGGTGTTATCCTAATACGTACTTTCTTGTAACTGTTTAGACTGTTTATATTTCAGGATTATTTACAGGTATGAGATTTTTGTGTGTGGCTGGCAATCTAAATTTGTTGACTCTATTTATTAGGAAAATGTTTTGATAGGACTGTAGCTGTAACAAAATAAGTAAAGCCTCACCTCAAAACAAAATTGCAATTCGAGCATCAAAAAACCTTCAAAATAATCATCTTGGTTTTGACCATTAACTTTGTGAAACAAATTAGGATTTCAAGCCTTAAAATAGTCGATATGATAATGACTATCCATTTCGCCCTAAAAGTAAGTGTTTTCGGATTTGTAATATCTGTATCATTTTTATAACTTCAAATTTCATAGTCGATGTTGGGAATCGTTTTTAGACCCCTCATGAAAATTTTCAATACCGGTGCTTTCTGGACAAGGATTCGAGGTGAGGAGGTTTGACTTTGTTTTCATAAAGCCTGGTCCTAGAAGTTGCATGCTTTTTATTAAGCACTTGTGATTTTATGTACTTGTAATTGTATGCACTTGAGATTGTATGCACTCTCTCTCTCACACACACCCACGCCCACCCACACATACACAAGAGATGCAAATTAAAGGTGAATGCCAAATGTGGAGGAGCAAATTTTGTTTGGTTGCCAGATTGAAGGGAAAGAGACGCTTTTCAAAGCTTTAGAAGTGTGGAGAGCTAAACATGTGTAAATAGATAAACGATCGTCTCTCTTCAATTACCACCAGGTTTTCACTATTTACATTATCTAGTTTGCCTTTAAAATTACCATTTTTTGTCGAATTTGATTGCTCTTCCCCCAATTTCAACTGAGATAAAAAGATCAAATTGCTAGCAAATCTTAGACCTGGAAACCAAGAATAGTCATCTTTTTAAAAGGCTAAAGACCAATTTCAACTTATTCATTTCAGTTTGCACCCAGATCACTCCTCTTATCTCTCATTCTCTCTTTCTGTCTCTAGTCTCTCTCTTTCGTACACACAATGTGCTGAGCAAATCCTTTCTTGCATATACATTCCAATCACTTTTGTCCTTGTTGATTAATACTAGTCATAATCCTTCTTTGCAATTACATTTCCAATCACATCCGCCCTCTTGATTAATATGAGTTCCCGAACCAAGATTGCTATCATCTTTTCATGCAAGCCTTTTTCCAATTTCTCTCTGGAATTTGAGTTATAGCGGAAGATTTCTAGTTAAAGAATAAAAAGGTTTAAGAAAAAATGCTAATTTTTTTTTTTTTTAAGATCTTTTGAAAAACTTGAAGTTCTTAGCGAATGGTGTTTTGAACGGAGACTTGAGACACCATCACCCACATATTGGATGAAAACATAAGGGAATTTCTTTACATTTGCTATTTGTTTCCCTATGGTTAATGATTTTTTTTTCTTTTCATTCTCTCAGTGAACTTGATTTAGTAATTCTGTGTGATGGCTGAGCTTATAAGACAAAGTGAGCATGGTAACAATGTGATATTCTGATTTTGGTAGGAACGCTTTAATGAAATACATAGAAAAATAGCAGTATTTTAATAAGAGAAAATGCGCAAAACATGTTAACTTCAAAGAGCTATAAAAAGTTTATAAAAACTTGGACTCAATCGAGTAATTTGGACTTTCATTGGTGGTCTTGACTCGGGAATTTTAAAAAAAAATCAAAAAAATTATAAAAATTATTTATAATATATATATATATCTATTATTTTGGTAAAAATTGGAAAGTATTTTGGCCATTAATATTTATTTTTATATTTTCCGATCTTTTTGAATTATTTTTAAAAGGGTGTGGTTTCTATAAGGTTGCAACCCTAAACAATCCAATTAAGGCACACCTCCAAATTCTATCATAGCATGTAATTTTAATGTACAATTTTTTTAGGATTATTTGAAAATCTATTTTTCTCTAATTATAAATTTTTTAAATTTAAAAATGATTAAAAGCAAGTAGATCTATAAACATATGAAAATTTTGAAAATAGACTGTCTAGATAATGTATTGCAAGAAGCACTATTTATGGAACTCAAAATTTTTGTTTTTTTTCATATTCATACATCTCAATGTCGAGATGATCAATTAAAGATTTTTTCAACATTAAAACACCATTTTCCAATGGGTTTTTGAGGTGCATCATTAATTCGGCATTTTAAGTCACAAATTGATCTTTTCAAATTTCATTTTTTCACTACTTTCTAGACTTCATTTAGGTGTATTTTTTGTTTAATGTGTTTTAAACATATCTATCCTATTTTTTAGATTGTTTTTTTTACACTTTCTGGGTTGCCAGGACGCAGCCTGACTCAAGCTCATTAACTCGAACTTGGCACGAGTTATTCGGCTCGGGCATGGACCGGGTCCTGTCCCTGTACACAGGTAAAATCCGACGCATACAAAAATAACGGTGGACTCCAAATTAGCCAAACTATCCACCACAAAGCTGTTGTCAATGAGCAAACACAGCATCCCAAACACAGATAAACAATGTCGATAAGATCATAGAAGGCACCAAATAAATGTCAATGCGAACAAATGTACAATTCATACAATATGGTATGAATCAAAAAAAGCTGAACTGCTCTATAGAACGCTACAAGGAAACAATGACCACGATAAACTTGGCATAAACAATATCTCTCTCTCAAATCTAGCTTTATCAAATATTTTGGCAGTCATCATCATATCAAAATACTAAGAGATTTCCATGATTGAGAGAGTGGTCCTCAATAAATTCCTTCCATGTTCTAGAGAAACACAAGGCACCCCAATGTTTTTAATCTTAGATATTCAAATAGTTACCATTAGGACCTTCCAAGATTGATTTATGAAATATTTTCTTAAAGTTTTGTAGATTGCTTTATGAAATATTTTCTTAAAGTTTTGTAGTTTTATTGGGATTAAATCGGCCACTGAACTAGTGAGGAACATGTCCAGCAAAAACTGAATCGACTATAATATTTATATTGTAAAAAATGTCCAATTTTGTTTAACTGGTTCAGTAGATCAAAACCGACTGAACCGACCAACCCAAACTAGTCAAATTTTGGTTTTGAACTATTTTTAACTAAACTAGATTTTTGCTTTGGACAATACTGACCATGGCACCGGTTGATGATCTGATCCCATCTTGACAACTATGGTTTCACCCAAAATATGATGGAATAAACCCTGGAAATATACAAATTTGATTTAACCACTACTTACCATAAAAAGATAAAATATTGTACCTTTCTTTTGATAAGCAACTGGGTAGCTCCCTTATAAGCCCAATAATGAAGTCAACCTCTCTAAAAGAAATCTTAAACAACTTCTCACTCTAAACTTCGATGAAAACACCCATAACAATGGCCCTAATAGTAGTGATCATGCTAGAATTTGGTTTACATTCATATTCAACAATGGATGGCAAGGGGGCTTCATTATTCCATTGAAATTCCTTCAAAAAATTTGATGGGCTTTCAACTTAAGAATTATACAAAATATTGTGTCTCACTATATATGTGTTTATACTCTTCTAAGTACGAACTTATTCAAATTGTGTACACGGCCCCCAATTTGTAGAGTTTAAAATTTTGTATTGTTATAGAGAGAAATATGTGAAATTAATAATCTTCCCAATATGGGTACACAAAATAGGAAAGAAAATATTGCACATAAATAATTTATACAAGTAGCTATATTTCACGCTCCCCCTAAACTCGTGATGGCCTAAAGCAAATAATTGAGAGTTTGGAAGCAAGGTTTAAAAAACAATGAACATTATGGGACTTCGAAATGGAGTAGGCAAGATAGATGTATGGAAGAGAGATTCTCCTGACTAAATATTCATGTCAAACGTAATAACAATCTACTTCAATATGTTTGGTGCCCTCATGGAACTATAGGTTCTTAGCAATGTAAACACTTTTATTATCACAGTATTAGGGTGTGGGTGCAGAAAGCCCCACACCCAAATCAGCTAATAACCAACGAAGCTAAACATTCTCAGTCGTTGTTTGGGTTATGGTTCAATAATTAGCTTTAGTTGTTAACTGAATAATATGCTTTTGCTTATTGCTCTTTCAAGAAATAACGGAATCACCAAGAAAAATACAAAAAAATGTAGTAGACTTCTGATTAGCAGTGGCCCCTGCAAAATCAAAGTTAGTGTAAGCACGAAGCTCAAGAGTGGAAGACGAAGAAAACAACGTAGCACAATCAAAAGTGTCTCGAACATAACGAATGATGTGTAAAAGAGCTGCTAAGTGAACATAACAAGAGGCACTCGAGAATTAACAAACAAGATGCACAACATAAGCAATGTTTGGTCTAGAGATGGTTAAATAAATCATGCTTCCAGCAAGTTACCTATAAAATAAGATAAAAAAGGGATTCACCCTATGTAAAATGAAATTTAACACTCAGTTCAATTGGTGTATCAAAATGCTTTCTATCATCAGCTATACGAGCTTGAGAAACTATATCTTTGGGATGGTCGAGTTGCGAGAACAAATACCCGTGAGAATATCAAGCAACTTTTAGGCCCAAAAAATATTTTAAGAATCCCAAATATTTCATCTCAAATAGCTTATTGAGTTGCTGCTTGATTAGATGTATGGTAACCTCATTATCACAAAAAATGATAATATCATCAATATAAAGTAAGAGAATTGCACGGCCCAGGTGTGAGTAAGACAAACATGGCTAGATCATGATGGTTTAATCAAATCCATAAAGCACGCACCGCAATTGATACACGCCGCAATTGACAGACTCAATGGTTGGGATCCAAAACCCCATGAGGTAACTTCATGTATGCTTATTCTTCTGTCTTCCTCAAATATATATATATATATATACGTATATGGAAAAGTTTATAGACAGCCGAGGCTCTAACACAATCAAATTTGAGCCTGTCTACCCAAAAAATTTCACTAGAAGAGGTTGTTTTGATACTTAAATATCTTCAAATTGATCATCTCGACATCAAGATACATGGACATGAGATAAAAATGGATTTCAAGTTTTGAAAATAGAGTATTTTGTAACACATTTTTGGATCGTCAATTTTAAAGATTTTTAAGTTTTCATAGATTTATTGATCTACACTATTTTTTAAGCTTTATACTTTATAAATAAAGCTGGAAATATATTTTAAGGCTATCAAAAAGATTTCCACCATTGAAACCACATTTCTTGACACTATTTGAAGTTAGGCTCTAATTTGATTGTTTAGAACCCAAG